GGAAACTGGGACTCTTCCAAGGTCTAGGAGGCTCCAACAGAGGACATTCTGGGACCAGGCAGACTTGCCAGAACAGGGCGCTGTAGTGACCTCAGTCACATATCCCCCTCTCAAGCGGGATTGGTGAGCAGTGCCTAGCCTACGTGACGCTGCTGGCTGAGACCCAGTAGGCTAGCACAGCCCAGGTCCCAGTGCCTAGAGGTGCACCCTGCTGGTGAAGCCTTCGGTAGGTTGACCTGGAGGGGCAGGCCCTGCATAGGCTGCATGGTCTGTAACTCCCTGGTGCACTGCGGTGGGCGGGAACACCTAGCCAGCGCAATTCAGACTGTGGCCAACAGGGAAGGAAGCTGGGCCTTCTATATACACTTGTATTTAAGGAACAAAGAATATGGGAAGAGGGAGCAACAAGAAAGGCTCCTCGGCCCCCAATCCTGAGAAAAAGGCAATAGCAGACACAGTACCAATAGACATAAAGCGCTATCTCCAGAGCCTCATAGACGAGTTCAGGAATGAAGTTATTAATGATCTGAAGCAAGACTTAAGCAGAATAGTTAGAGAAATGCTAAGCACTACCCAGGAAAAAACAGATGGTGGAATGGGTGAACAGAAAAATAGGGCAGAATTGTTTGATGGAGAAAATAGAGAAAACATAGAATATGTGAAGCAGGTTCAAAGAGATTACCAGGAAGCTAAAAGCTCTATCGAAAACTGGCTTAACAGCTTGAAAGAAACTAAGGATACATTATCTGAACTGGAGGCCAGATTTGTAATATGGGAGCATGAAATGAAAAACTTCTTAAAAATAACAAAGAAACAGCAATAATACAAAGACTAAAAGATGATAAGAGGATCTATAACTTAAGAATAAAGAACATAAAAGAAGAGGTAGGGACACAAACAAATGAACTACAAAAGCTACTCGCAGAAATAATCCAGGAGAATTTTCCTAATTTAGCAAAAGGTAAAGATACTCAGATGTATGAAGCATACGGGACCCCAGCCACCTACAACCCAAACAGAGCTACACCCAGGCATATAATAATCAAAATACCAGAAATCCAATATAAGAACAGAATATTAAAAGCTATCAGAGACAAGAAACAGATCACTTATAAGGGAACACCCATCAGAATTACAGCAGACTTCTCAGCACAAACCATCAAATCACGAAGAGTGTGGGGGGAAATAATTCAAGCTTTGAAAGATAATAACCTCCAGCCAAGATTGATATATCCTTCACAACTATCCCTGGAAATTGATGGAAAAACAAGGTGCTTCCAGGATAAAGAGGAACTAGGGGAATATGCAACCACCAATTCAACCCTACATAGAATACTGCAGGATATTCTAAAAAAGAAAAATACAAAGAATCCAGAAATAGTGGCAGAGAGTCCACAATGAATGGAGCAGAAAACAAAATGAAGAAGACAAACTGACAACTAATGACAGAAAAAAGAGCTCAACAGAAATGAGGCAGAGAAGATTGGACGATAGGAATAGGTATTTTGGAGAAAATGATGTCATAATAGGTAATGTTGATTTAATATCATCTTGTTTTGAAGTCCCATCAAGCTTTTGTTCTTCTGTCTCCATAGGTCTTAACATGTTGTATCTTACTGGATTTTATTATATGTGATAGTATAAACAAAAACTTTTATAGACAAGGAGATTATACAGAAACCATTGTTCATTTTCTGTTAGTTGATTCTAAATACCCTGTAATACTGTCATTCTCTTGAATGGTTTTACATTGTTTTGATATATTTGATTGTACTATATATGAAGTTATACTCAAAAGATTTCAAGGAAAGAGACAATATGGTAACTACTTGTATATCAGGATTATCTTGTGGTGAAACACTTTTGCTTAAATGGTTATGTTTTGATCTGTGCTGTTTTGTTGTTATGCCCTCTTTTATCTCAATCTCTATTATTTACTTTTTTATTTTTATCCTTTTAATTAAGGGAAAAATAAATTAAAAAATAGCAGGATATATTTTAGTAACCCACTTTGATTTTCTATTAACTTGATTTGAAGCCCTGTATTGCTCTCACCATCTTGTTTTGACTGATGTTTCTCTATTCTGTTTTGCTTGATAGTACCAGGTTTGAAAGTTTAGGCAACAGCTGTGAAGATAGTGGGATTCATTATGATGCCCATTCTGGTTGACTATTACCTACTTTTGAAGACCTGTAATGTCTCCAATGTTTTGGTTTTGTTGGTTTCATTCTTTACTGTTTTTTTCAATTTTATTATAACTGATTATATAGGCAATTCTATTGGAGATAGCGGGAGGCATTATGTTAACCATTGTTGATCACCTTGTATTATGTTTTTACATTATTATGTCCACCCTTTTGATTTGACCAACTCTGTTCTGTTATGTCACATTTGGTTTTACTTTCTTCCAAAAAAGTAATAAGAACTGTGGGAGTAACAAAACCCAAAAAGTGTAATAGTCATTGTACAAAAGAGAGGAAAAGAAAGTGCTCTAAATGATATAACTGCATGTATATTTAAGTGTATACGATAGACAATGATATTACTGAGTTTTGTTGGATCATTGGATAGAACTGTTTGCAGTCTCACTCTTTGAATGTCCACTTTATGTGCTTTAATTTTGTAACTTGAACAAATATTTCTAAGATGATAATATGTAATCTATTAACTAGTGATTTCCTGTTTATTTTTTTTCTGAAATTCTGTATAACTTGTACCCTTTTTCTGCTTTTTTTTTCTTTTTCTCCTTAAATAAAATTAAAAAAAATTGAGTCACATTAATATTTTTTAGTGTCATGAGGGAAGTAGGAAAATGGTATTTCTTTTTGTATATCTGTTTGCAGAATATGATGACTACACACCTTATGGGGACTTGGTACATGTATATAACACATCTTAGTTTTTTTTTTCTTGGCCCCTCCTCCAAATCTTTTGGTTGTCTTCCCTTTTGCAAAAGATCTAATTATTTCCTATTGTCTTTTATTTTGTTCTTTATTTATATTTTGAGTTTCTCATATAAGAGAAACTATGCAGTATTTAAGCTTGTGTCCCCTATTTATTTCACTTAACATTATAGTCTCAAGATACATCCATTTTTCTACAAATGACCCATATTTATCCTTCTTTATGGCATGTGTATACACACACACACACATAATATATATATATATTTTTTTATTCTTTTAGACAGCTGTTTATTATCTGTTCATCTGTTGATGGATGTATAGGTCTCTTCCAAGATTTAGCTGTTATGATTTGTGCTGCTGCAAACGTAAGTATGCATGAATCACTGTAATATAATGTCTTTAACTCTTTTGGAAGGATACCTAGAAAGGGAATAGCTGAGTCAAATGATATTTCTACTTTCTGCTTTTTGAGGAATCTTTATACAGATTTCCATATGGTTGTACTAATTTGCATTCTTAACCAAAAATGTAGTTCTTTTTTTCACAGCCTCACTATTTATTATTTTTTTTGATGATGGCCATTTTTTTCTAGGATAAGATGAAATCTCCAAGCTGTTTTAATTTTCATTTCTCTAATGACCAGAGATGATGAACATTTTTTGTGTATTTAATTGGCCTTTTGTGTATTTAATTGGCCATTTATCCTACTTCTGAGACATGTTTGTTCATTTCATTTGTCTATGTTTTGATTGAGTCTTTTTGTTTTGAATGATCTAATTTTTTGAGTTCTTTATATACTCTAGATATTATTACTCTGAGTTGTAGCTGGCAAATTTTTTTCTGTTGTATAGTTTGTCTTTTTGGTAGTTTCTTTTGATATACAGAAGACACATTTTAATTTAATGTAATTTGGTGATTTTTGTTATTTCTGATGCAGTCAGGGTTAGGTTAAGTCTTCAAGAGTTTTACTTATTTTATCTTCTAGCAGATTGTTTCTGTTTTGATATCCAGGTCTCTGGTCTGTTTTGATTTATGTTGAGAGAGAGAGAGAGAGAGAGAGAGAGGTCTAGATTCTTCTTCTGGGTGTGGATAACCAGTTTTCTCAGGCCTGTTTGACAAAGAGGTGATTTTTCTTCCAGGATAGTGATGGAAGCTTTTAGAGATGAATGCCCAAGTTGCAATCCCAAACCCACTTATTTATCACAAAGTGCTAGCATTGCATTTAAGCCCAAATACTGAGGGTTTGGTTTAGTTTAGTTTAGTAAATTAACATCTTTTGTCTTAAAAGAATGAATAACACAAGTGTCCTTGATTCACCACCACTGAGATAAAGTTTGTTTTTGGCCCCTAGGATAACTGAACATGCCCAGGTCTGTTTCTGCATCTTTTATTTTGTCCCATTCATAATGCATATCTGTTTTTGTGCCAGTACTATGCTCTTTTCATCTTTGTAGTTTTGTAATATAACTTTGAGATCCAGGATTATGATGCCCCCTGCCTTCCTCTAGATGTTCAGGATACTTTTGCTATTCTGGGTTTCTTTTGGTTCGATATAAATTTTAGGATTGTTTATTTTCTAGTTCTGTGAGGAAGGCTCTTGATATTTTGATTGGGATTACATTAACTATATCAGGAAAATAGGATTTTTATATCTAAACATACTGGTTTTAATTCTGAATCTCTCATTCTTTGGTCTGATTCTTTCATTTATTTACAAGCTGTGGGAGTGTAGGCAACCTGATGACTCTAAGCCTCCATTCTCTTAACTGTGAATAAAACTTTTGCCTTACTAGGGTTGTTAATGAGGATTAAATGATGTGTGTGTGTGTGTGTGTGTGTGTGTGTGTGTACATTCTCTAACCTGGAGGTCAGGAGACTTACTCTAATAGGCCAAAGTAGTACATAATTGTGGTTTGGTTTGGTTTATAGATCACATAGTCTTCATTCCCAACTTCTCAGGTCTGCCCCTGTAGCAGGAAGAATAAGGCAGCATATTGGATTTGCCTTGACGGCAGTTAGTTTAAAGGCACCTAACTGTAACCTATAAAGCACTGTGCAAATGTTGAGTAATTGTCATGACTTTCTCTCTTCAGGCTAATGTAATGCTTGAGTATGATATTGATGAAGCTCAGGCTTTGTTGGAAAAGAATTTATCAACTGCCACGAAGAACCTTGATTCTCTTGAGGAAGACCTTGACTTTCTTCGAGATCAATTTACTACAACAGAAGTCAGTATCCTTTAAAAAAAATGAAGGAGAAGAAAGAAGGCAGAAATTTTAAAAATTCTTTTATTGTTGAAATAGAATGTCCTTAGGCTAATGTGAGTCTGCAGATTTAATAACATTTTTGAAACTAATAAGTTTGAAACTAAACATTTATTAAGAATTTCTTTTGCATTTCTGCAACCGTGGTAACCCATTAAGCGTGGAAGTCTGTATATTGAAAATTGAGTTGCAAAGTGTTTCTCTGTTTAGCTGCGCATAGAAAGAGCTAAATGTTAACTGCATAGTGAACTGTTAAGTCAGTGCATATCATGTATAACCCCAAGGCAGTTTAAAGTTTGGAAAGACGAATGTGAGCTGGAGTTAGGTCAGGGAAGCCTTTGTTGAGAAGATGAAACTTAGCCCGTTTTCAGAGGCCATATAGAATTTGAATCACCAGAGAGAAAAAATGAGTGAAGTATTCTGATTAAGAAGGTGGGCAGGCATGTTGAAACAAGGCTCTTTAACATTTCTTCGTTGACTCTTTCTTTGGTTGCCTTAGTCACTCAGTGTAAAACTCTGGGGGTCATCCTTCACACTTCACTTTCCTCACTACTCAGAGTAAACCTATCACCAAGTTCTTGTCAAATTTTCCTCATAAATTTCTGTGTATTGCTCTTACTTTAGTTTTAGCCCTCCAGGACATGCACAGTCATTTTCAGTATGTCTTTCATACTACCTATAGCATGAGGTTACTAAATCATGTATCTTATGTTTAGTCTTCTGATTTTGATATTTCAACAGTTACTTATTGCATGTAAGTTATGCATATAGCCACTCAAGTACCTCTGACCAGTCTTACCTCATGCCATGACCTTTTCCTGCCCTGGCTTTTCCCCATTGCACTGTAGGTTCCGGATAATTGTAGTCAGTGTTTCTCCTCACCCCTAAAGTATACCATACCTTTTGCATTTCTGCACTGTGTTCTTCCTACCTGAAATGATTTACTCTCCTTCACCTGGGGGTATTCCTTTATTTTTCATACCTCAGTTCAAGCATCTGAATATTCCTTACATTTTCTAACCTCTTCAGGATGTTTGTTATTTTTCTCTGCTTACTTAGCACTTTGCACAGTTTTTTTTTGTTTTGTTTTTTGTTTTTTGTTTTCCTTGCCCAGTTGTGAGGTCTTTAAGTATAGGAACACTTTCGTTTTTTTCTCCAGCATGTGTACTGTAGTAGGTGCTTAGTACCTGAGAGAGAAGACAGGCATGTTTGAGGCCAAGTACAAGTATTATCTAACAGGTAATGAAGAGATTATTCGTCTATGAGGTGACAAGGACTTGGGAGAGCTGGTGTTTGTGGAAGGATATGAGAGAAAAATAGTGACTTAGTTCTAGAAACCAAAAGAGAGGACATCATCTAAAGTGAGTCCTACAAGCTTAGAGGAAATACAGTATGATATTGCTAGTACTGGAGGTAGAGTGATGTACAGACATCAGAGAAAGCTAGGGCACCCAGTATCTGATATATATACCAATCTATTGGAGTCTGAGCTCCGTGGAAGACTTCACCTGTCTTACTCAAGGCTTTGTAGTATACCTAGTCTAAAACACAGTAGATGCTTAACAAACTGAATGATTTTCCTCTTAAACCAAAGGGAGAGTAAGCATAGTCATTGATAATTGTACTAATTATTAAATATTGCATGGCAGGATACAAGTTGAGTGATCTTTGAAATTTTATGGATTAAGGACTATCTTTAAAACTGTTGAGCCAGGCATGGTGACACACACGTGTAGTCCCAGCTACTTGGGAAGCTGAGGCAGGAGGAACAGTGAAGCCTGTAAGTTCCAGGGCTGCCTGGATAACGTAACAAGAACTATCTCAAAAATAATGTTGAGTTGGACTTGCATATAGCCCAGAAGTACAGCCCCTGAAAGGCAAGTGTGAGGTTGTGAATTTGATCCTCAGTACCAACAAAAGAAAAAGAAAAAATGATGTTGAGAGTATATAGTACATATTTATTAAATATAATACATATTTAATAACTAGATATTCTAAACAATTATTGATTGGAGGTTTTGACTTAGTTTTGGTAGAATTTAATTCTGACTTTTTCTTAGCAGTGAATATAGCAAGGTAGCTGGCAGTAGTAGTTGTTACTAGTATTTGTATGTGATTTCTGTATTTTTTTGTTCATGACATTTTGTCATTGCACGTTATCTTTAGAAATGTATTTACATTTTCTTTGACAGTTCTTACAGATATGGCCAGAGTTTATAATTGGGATGTCAAAAGAAGAAATAAAGATGATTCTACCAAGAACAAAGCATAATATTATTTGGCAATTAAAAATGTGATTCAGTTTTCCAAAAATGTAACTTTAAATTCCCCAGCATTTTTTCTTCAAGATTGATATAATTTTGAGTGTTTTTTTTAAGATCAAGAATGATTAAAACTTTAAAAAAAGATGAATACCATTTTATTTATTTATAAAAACAAAATTAGTTTCAAATACTTTATGAGATTAACAGTATTTTTTCACATTTCCAAACAAAATTAATCGTACATTCCTCTTTTGTTTTCCGTCTGTTATAAAGGCAACTCTTAACTAAAATCAGTGGAAAACTGAGATATACTATGGAAGCTGAATGCTGGGCATTAGCACACTTTCTTACTGACTTACGTGGTTAAACCATTTTCAAAGTAGAAAAGACAGGCAGTTTCAGTATTTGTAAACTTAAATTTTTTAGGCCTTGTAGGACTTTATAGTCCACTGTTGTTGTCTTATATCATTGGAGTTTTGTGAGTTACTGCTTGACAATAATTATTACAATATTCTGAACTTTTCAGAAAATGCTAATTTGCCTTCCTACATAGTAAGAGGGCTACTGCTACAACACTTCTAACACCAAATAAGTGCACAGTGTCTTTCCAGTGCCACCATAAGGGAGATCTTTGCCAATGTAAAATAGTACTACACATTCAAAACCCTTAGCTAAGGTAACTTTATATTTCTTAACAGTTCTCTAACAGTAATATTAAGATAAATATAAATCTGCCATGTTTGAAAAGAATTGTGAGCCTTTTTATTCATGATAAACCTGCATAGGAATAGTAAAAAGAAAAAAATCCCCATGGAAAGCCATTGGTACAGTGGCAAGTACTGGGTAATACAGATTTGAGTAAAAACACAAATGTATTATTTCATCTCTGTGTAATAAAAATTATACTTGTACAATGTTTTGTACTTGTATTTCATGTTATTAAAATAGTGATGTTGAAACTGTGGCATTTGACACTTTTTCATAGCTATTCTTTTAATTTGTTTGGAATGCTATAATAGGATACATAGACTGGGTAGCTTATAAACAAAAGGCATTTGTTTCTCATAGTTCTGGAAGCTGGGAAGCCCAGGATCAAGGTGCTGATAGATTCAGTGTGTAGTGAGGGTTTCTTTGTGGTTCATAGTACCTTCTTGCCATGTCCTCACATGGTAGAAGGGACTAAGGGCCTCTTCCCTACAGGTGCTAATGCCATTCATTAAGGCTCTGCTCATTTCCCAACGGTCCTATGTCCTACTACCATCACCCCGGAACTTAGGATTTCAACATCTAAATTTGGGAATGACATAAACATTCAGACCATAGCCATTTTTATAAAGTTAACAAGGGTCTTTTCACATATGTGTAAAATTTATTTATCTGTGCATAACTAGCATATTCTAAGAACTTCTTATATACATAGAAACAACATAAAATCACTTTGGAAGAAATACAGGTAAGCAAGCAATTAACAGGTTAACCTGAAAGATACTAAAGTTCTTTGATTCAATTTTTCTTTCATAATTTTAAGCTCTCATATTTTAGAATTTGAGATTTATAAATGTATTGAGTTGTTATAAGAGCCATTTCTCCCCCAAACTTTATTATGGTAAGTATGTTGGTACAAAATGTCCCTGTTAGATCAGGAATGATTTTCTCTGAACAGATTTATTTTATCTTAAAAGTTCATGAAGATCTAGGATCTAGATTTAGGGAACATGAGGAATATGAAAAAATAAAACTCTTTAGATAAAAGAGTTACAGGATGAAAATTAGGTTTATTCAACAAATTTATAAGCTCAGTGTGTGTGAAGAATGGTTAATTAGATGAAAGAAAGAAACTTTAATCTTGTTTCTGCCACATTGATTCTATGTGTAGTGGCTTATTTTCCATTGTAAAAATACCATTTGAGAAAATTTAGAAAATAGGTAGAAAAGCTGTTTATGTTCCACTTGCAGTCCTCCTCAGTACGTCTTCCATTTCTTTTTCTATGTATAGTTTTTTGGCTTATTTTGTAATGTTGTTAACATCATTTTATTAGTTTCATAGTACTGTCTTCATGAATGAGCCATAATACACTCACTCTCATATAAGACATTTGAGTTGTACCTAAAGTTTTAATCTATTATAAGTAAATAATTTAGCAATTTATGTTTTTACAGAAGGCTTTTTTCTTGTATTTAGGATTTTTCCTGAAATTGGATTACCAAAAAAATTGAAATTATGGAGTCAAAGATTTTAGCATTTTATTATCTGTAATTAATAGTTTTGTCAAATAGAGCTTGTTTGTTTGACACAGAGGCTGGTGAGTATTCAGGTATGTTGAGAAATGAGTGAAGCTCTTTTAACTAAGATCAACAGGGAAAAGCTTACAAAATTACATTTGTTGTCATTCTTAATGTTCAGGATCATCTTTTGCAGATATGACAGTTTAAAGCAGATACAAGGAAAAATAATGTTTTCTTTCCTCTAGCTATTGTTTATTATGTAACATTTTTCTAAATTCATATTTTTTCTCTTACTTGAATATTGTTTCTCATCTTTCCCTGCTGCCCATATCTCTCTTCAATATAGAGATACAGATGTCTGTAAGGGAAAGCCCCTTGTCCAAGGCCACAAACTGGCTACATGTTTAACCGGAACAGAACCCAATTCTAGATTCTGAGTGAATTTTTTCTCTCTACCATGATGACTTGCTGTGTTATTTAGGGATTGCTAATAGCTAAGTGATGAAAATGTTCAAGGTCAGTTCCTAATCCCTTTCTTTGTACATTTGCTATTCTCAGCTGTAAACCTCCACGATACCTTTAAAGATCTTAACCCAATTTTCAAAGATGCGTCTTCTTCAGTTCTAATCTCATACCCATTTGATAACTCTGTTGATGCCTGTTTGGTGTTGTCTTAGTCACTTCTCTAGTCTCTGGGACACAATATCCCGACATCTACAACCTAAAAGAGGAGAGGTTTATTTTGGCTTATGGTTGTGGCTCCAAGGCAGAACCAATGTGGTGGAAAATCCTACTGTAGACAAAACCCATACATGTCATGGAGGCCAGGAAGCAGAAAAGGAGGAGCCAGGGAAGGAGATACATCCTTTCAGGTCGTGTCCCCAGTGACCTACCTTGAACTGGGCCCTGCATTTTAACAGCACATTTAGTACATTCACTGTAGTGCCCCATGATCCAGTCACCTTCCAGACACATGAGGCTTTTGGGGGAGACCCCAGACCTAAGCCATAGCATGTAAATGTAGGATGAGGTTATCTCTGAAGACACAACTGAGTGCAGGTGCAATACCCGTCATGGCTGGTGCTGGTTTCTGTTATACAGTTAAGCTCCAAAAACCTAGAATGGCCATGTTTGACACTAGTTAACTGTAAAGGTTAGGAGGCAGGCTAGATAGCATGCCAGGGAGTGACATAAAGACATTAAGTTTATCCCTGAGGATTATCACACAAGCCCACACAGATTGCACAGGGTGCAGGAGTCATTGCTTTAGAGCCCAGAAAGGACCAGCCTCTGTGCATATAGCATCCCTAGGTCTTAACCAGGGACAGAGCCTAGGAAGAAGTGGTGTACTGTAGTTAGGAAGCCATGTGGCTCCTATTGTGTATTTATGGTAACTCACAGCCCTTTCAGCTTGAACACAGAGTGCCACCCAGAGGATTTTACCAGAAGCATCCTTGCCTAGTCACATAGGTGAATTGTCTACCTTCAGATTTCCAGGGAAGCATTTCAAAAGCCAAGAAGTCAGTTCCATACCTCAAGGAGAAAGGGGGATTGGAACATCCCTCTGAACCTTTTGGATCTTGCATAATTACAGCCTATTTTTTTGTCTTTTGACATAGTCTTGCTATGCAGTTCAGGGGGGCCCTGATCTCACCTGTAGCCCAGGCTAGTCTTGAACTTTTAGCGGTTTTTCCACCTCAGCCTCCTGAGTGCCAAGATTACAAACATGTGCCACTATTCCCGGGTTGTGTCCCAGTTTTTAACACTGGCCTGCTTGCTTTTTCAGTTCCTTTTCAAAGGCGTCTTAGCCAGTAACTGCTTCTACAGAAAAAGATATTGTTAGGTGTTTTACCTTAAAATATGAACACATTTCTGCCATTGGTAGGTGAAAGTAAGGCATCAGCTAGTAGATTGAAATAGTTTCCATAGTTTCTTAATATGTATTTGAAGACTTCTCCTTAACCCAAAACTAAGTGGTGCTATAAATTTAGTAAAACTGCAAAATGATTAGAGAGTATAAGCTTTTTAGGCTTGTGGCCTAAACTACTCAATAAATAACATTTCATTTTTACATTTTTTATTTTGAAAATTTACAATTATAATTAGTGTCATAGATAAGCCAACTAATTAACCATAATTTTTGTACATTAACACTTTTTCTCTACTCAGACCTGAGTTTTGAGAAGGTTCCAGTTTAAGATTGAAAATGTCCAAAGCTGGAATAATTGGTTCCTATATTATGTACACAGAAGTCCTTTTATTGCTTGGAATGTTAGGTTGTCCAGGGTTTCATTACACATAAAAATATGTGGATTGTGATGTGAAATTCAGTTAAAGCACATGGTTTTGCATAAATTTGTTTGTAGATCTCTGATTTTTCTGCCAGGTTTGGTTGTAGTTATGGCCACAGAAAATAAAAGGATGGACCTGGTGTGTATGGTATTTTTGAGCAGTTTTTACAGACGATAGTAAGTGTCTCTTCTTTTTTTGGTGTACTAGGGGTAGAACACAGGGCCTTGTGTATGCCAAGTAAGTGATCTGACCTTGAATATATCCTCACCCTCCTAAGATCATACTTCTCAACTGTAGTTTTTGAATAATTTTATGTTTTAGTTGGTTATCTGAAAATCTTTTTCCTTTTGGAAGTACTATGGTTGGAGTATGGCTTCCAGTGGTTCATGTGTTGGAAACTTGCTTCTTAGTGTGGCATTGTTGAAAGGAGATGGATCCTTTTAAGAGCTTGAGCCTAGTGCAAGGAAATTAGGTCGTTAAGGGCATGGCCCACAGGCTGGATTAATGTGCTTTCTGTGGCACCATGGTCCATTTTTGTGAGAGGTGTAATCCTGACCCTTGACTCTATGGCTTTTTGTTTTACCATATGATCTCTTCTTGCACACATTCTTGCTGTGATGCCATATATCATGTGATACAGCTAAGGGTAAGCTCATCAAATCTGAGTAGATGATGGCACCATGCTCTTAAGCCTCCAGAACTATGAGCTAAGTAAACCTTTTTATAAACACTCAGCCTCAAATATTTTGTAACAGAAAATGGACTGAGACATGGAGACACTTTATATGGAGATAGACAAAGACCATATAGGAAACTTTAGATTTTTTTAGTTCCCCGAATAAATCCATCATATACTAAATACATTTATTTCCTCTAAATAAAAGATGTGGATTAAGAATTATGGGGTTGAGGTCAATGGATAACAATCCCTTGTCTTTACTTTGATTCTCATGTCCTCAGCTACTTAAGTCTCATGTGTTAGATTAGGCTAGGCAATAATTTGTTAGTAAAGTGGCCCAGATCCAGCTGATGAGTTATGAAAATGAGTGTGCCTGGCCCTACCCCACTGTCTGTTTCTGATCTGAGAGGTGATTGATTGCTTTCTGTAGCCATGGCTCCCTGCTCCAGGAGGTGATGCAGGTAAGGGGTGGCCTTTGCCAAGCTTGTGTGTTACATCATTTGAACTTTAAGCACCCAAAATTGTGAGCTAAAGAAACCTTTTCTCAGTTTTTCCTCTAACTTCAAAAAAAGTCAGTGATGCCCAAATCTTGATGCTTCCATCCAACATAGTGAATATAACAATTAGTAAAGTAAAAAGCATCCCAATTAGAAAAGAACAAAATTATCTAATTTTCCAGATGACAGGACCTTATGTATAACAATTTTAAAAATTACACTAAAACTTAGAGCTGATGATTTTTTAAAAAAATTTCAGTTTACA